AGTTGTGTGCCACGACTTGAAATTTCACTGAACCACGGTGTTTTTTTTTCTTTACGCAAGGTCAAGACTTTTCGTAAATTATGATGCTTAGGGTGTAAGCACACCGAGACGCACTATCGCATACTCAATAATAGCTCCTGAAATGTTCGAAATTTGTCATTTTGAAGAATATGATGTGACATTCACTTACGTTAAAAACATTTAGGAACGATTTCGAAAGGGAAAAACTCTAAATTACTGATTACAAAATTAAAAAAACAAAAAAATATTATGAAGGTGAATCAGCTCCCATTGAATAAGCATTTATAAATACGAAAAATATTGAAATGAGGAAAATTCGAGGAGCAAATGAAAAAAAAAACATTTTATATACCTCGAAAACCTAGCTTCAGAAAAACAAATAATGGATAGAAAGCAGAAATTTTAGAAAAAAAACCTCGTATGGCGAAATTTTTGTTTAAATCCGAAAAACCATCAAAAAACTAGAAAAAAATATATAATTTAGATGATGCATATATCAAAATCATTAAACTGCATCAGCAAATTCAATTTGGCTCTAATTTACACGAAACCGGTTTCAAACTACGTCAAAGGAACTAGATAATAACTTTTTATTATTAACTGATTAAATTAAAAACTATAGTTTCCGAAATAGAGTGACTCTTTTCATGTCGCGAAACAGATTTCAAAATTTTGAAAAATTAGGACTTTTAGAAAAATCTTCAACTCTTTTGAGAAAAAAGTTAAAGATCTGAAACTGGTTTAGAAAAGTGCGCAATTTAAAGCTCCACAAGATGTACCCATAGAGAGGCGGATCACATAAATGCAAGAAATAGAAAAAAGTAAAAAACCAAGAAAAAAGTGAAGAAATTCAATTTTTGCATCAGAAACCATGAGAAGGGCGCAATAATGCGCCACGGATAATATGCCGCTGGGACCCAAAATTTCGCATTTTTTTTTTTGCCGCGTTTAAAAGTAATAAAACTACACGCGGAGAAATTGTTTTTGTGTTTACAGCCACGAGCCGAAATTATGCGCGCCGATATTCGTTGGCAACATTCCAACACAGTTTTTCTTTTTCTTTTTCTTCTTTTTACAGAATTTTTTTCCTTTTTCTTTTTCAATTTTTCAACCCGTTCAAAGCTATTGATTTTAGGAATAGTATGAATGAAAACCTTTAGTTAATTTTTCGACTGTTTGAACTTGAAAAAAGTTCAATTTTTCTCAAATTTCGTATTTATCGTGTTTATTTTTTTTTCCCAACGGATGTTTCAGAGTGTTTGAAGTTGCAGGTCTCTAAACTATGACGGGTATTGGATTACCGAGTTTTATCTTTGAATAATTTTTATTCAAAAAAATTTTCTAGTTTCTTTTTACAATTTTTGATTTTGTTCACAAAAAAATTCAGATTCGTCAGGAAAAGACGGGCGGCTCGTGTGAAGGTAACGCAAAATTTTCGTCTCTACAGTCAAGCATAAATTCGTGAGTTTTTCTTGTTCTTCGATATTATTTTTCATTTTCAATATGTCTTGTCTGTTCAGTTTTACATGAAAAAATTAATACCAAGGTTCAATCAGCCTTTCTTTTTTTCTTTTTGGAAAAAAATTTTTTTCTTCTTTCAGGCCCTAGACGATCGGTTTACGAAGGACACGCCGAAAGACTACACGTGAAACTTGGATCTCTTTTATGGAACTTTTTCTAATAAAAAAATTCATTGTTTTCTTCTGCATTTCAGAAAAATTTGACAACAAAACAGTTTCTGTTATTAGGTTTTGAATTTGATTAACTAAGCAGCTTGTTTTTTTTTACATTTATTCCTCAAGAAATTGATGCTCATCATCTTTATTCAAATAAAAGATGGAGGGAATAAATGCGCAATAAAACAAAACAAAATCATTGAAACAAAGGAGAAGTTAAAAGCTGTGAATTTGACACAATCGAGACACGATGAATTGCAAATTTATCCGGCTGACCACAACGTCTTGTTCGAATGAGCTGAAAAAAATTCAATATCTGAATTAAATGAACTAGTTATTAAGAGATCTATAGGAAAAAACTCACAAATTTCTTATATTGCCCGTGGCGTCGAAAAATTACGCGCTACCTTCACACGAGCCGCCCCTTCCTCCCTAACGAGTCTGAATGTGAAAAATAATCAAAAAATTTTTAAAACATAATTGCGAAAAAAAGTTTTTGAACAAAAAAATTAACCTTTTTTTCAAATTTAACACTTTCGGTAATCAATACCCGTCATAGTTTGAAGACCTGCAACTTCAAACACTGATACATCCGTTGGATAAACGCGATAAATACGAAATTTGAGAAAAAATTGAACTTTTTCAAGTTCAAACAGTCGAAAAAAATTAACTAAAGGTTTTCATTCATTTATTTCTAAAATAAATAGCTTTGAACGGGTTGAAAAATTGAAAAAGAAAAAGAAAAATTCTGTAAAAAGAAGAAAAGAAAAGAAAAAACTGTGTTGGAATGTTGCCAACGAATATCGGCGCGCATAATTTCGGCTCGTGGCTGTAAACACAAAAAAACAATTTCTCCGCGTGTAGTTTTATTACTTTAAACGCGGCATTTCATTGCGCGGAACACCGTGCGAACGACATTCCGCTGTTCCGCTGCGTCGCGAAGAGTCTTTTGCGAGCCTCGGTCTCGCTTTGAATTGGTTCTCATTTCGGTACACAGACTGTACAAAGAATCAAAGCGATGCAAAATAGTTTACCTATTGTTCCATTTTAGACCTTCATTGGTTTTTTTGGCGAATTTCCAGATCTCAGCCTACAACACGAACGGAGCTTCGACGGAGTTTGGATGGGGTGCGCGACTGGACAGCGAGCGACAAAAACGCGCGGCTCTCTGGGCCTTGCTCTACTCGGAACGTCTCCATCAGAGTGTCGAAAGTGTTGGTCCGACCGACTCTCCAGTTTCTCAAAAATGCTCACTTGCAGGGCCTACCTATTTCATATTCCTATTCGGATATGGTTGTCAGCTGCACCTACAACGCCAAAACATGCAATGAAACGTAGAACTTTTTGTGGTTTTTGTTAACTTGTTCATCTTCTTTCAGAAACTTCATCTCTTTCTACAACCCAACGTACGGAACGTGTCAGCAGTTCAACTTTGGAGGCGAGTTCATCTCATCGCGCGCAGGACCTCTTTACGGTCTCCGGATGGTCCTGCGCACCGACCAGGCCGACTACCTGCCCTGGACCGAGACTTCTGGAGTCATCATGGTGATTCACACCCAGGACGAAGTTCCTTATCCTGACGTCTTTGGATATTTCGCTCCTCCGGGCACAGCCTCATCCTTGGGTGAGTTGATAAAGTCTTCGATATCGAACAGAATCAGAATCGAAACCTGAAGTTCAAGCTGTTGAGGTGTGAACTACGTCTCCACGTCGCGATTAGGCAAGCCCTACGGCACATGTACCACACAGAAAACTCTCACCACCACTCATTACACAGGCAACTACACTGTCAGTTTCAGAAAAACATTATTCGATAAACTATCTTTAACTTTAATAACAGTTATATCAACCAGATTTTTGTGGTCTATGCGAGGAAATGCTGTGAAAAGGTTTTTCAGCCTAATTTCGAAAAAAATAAATTAAAATTAATGTCAATTCATCTCGTAAAAAAACGTTTCAATTTCTTTTTTTCTGACTGGTTTTCATCTTTTAGCAGCAATAAAACAATTTAAGAAATTTGAAATTTATTTCAGTGAAAAGTTGATTTTTTTCTAGTAGTTCTCGTTTTTCTTATTGAAGATAAATAAGCGAATATTCACTTTTTCACTTTTCATAACTCCATTTTTTTGTCTAATTTAAAATAATAAAAAGATGGTACGACAAAAATCTCAGGTCCGCAAATCTCGAGGACCGTAATCTTGTGTACGCAGATCTAAAGTCCCATAATCTTGGAAACCAAAAATCTTGGAGACCAAAAATCTTGAAACCACAATCTTGGAAAGCAAAAAAATCTTCCTTTTTAGTCTTCTTTATTGCACTTTATCTACTTATATTCTCCTTTTTGGATCACCGAATACAATTTCTGATGAAAATCTATTCGCAAAAGCGTTGATTTTACTTTCCAAGATCGTGGTTTCCAAGATTTTGGTCTCCAAGATTTTGGTCTCCAAGATTATGGGACTTTAGATCTGCGTACACAAGATTACGGTCCTCGAGATTTGCGGACTTGAGATTTTGTCGTACCATCAATAAAAAACATCGGCGTTATGTTAAATTTCGTCGGCGGTTTTTATGCAGCAGCCTATGCATTTCATTGAAAAGACTATAAACAACGCGAAAAAAAATCACTTTAAAGAATACCAAACTGTAAGCTTTCAATCTCCAAGTTACCGATCTGAGTGTTTTTTTCATGTCAAACTGATCGCATTTTCCAGGTAGAAGCATGCTTCCGAAGCTGCATGCAAGAGAAAATTGTGACGGAGTGTGGCTGCTACGATCCGGCCTATTCCCACGCCGAAAACTCGACGGCTTCTTGCGACACTTACGGCGATCCCTCGACGAACTGTTGGAGGAGTCGGATAAATTGATTGTCTTTCTCTATTTCAGTGGCCTGCATCGATGAGATAAACAATCCGGACACGTCGGTCTTCAACATAATCAGCGAGTGCAACTGTCCACAGCCATGCAAGTTTGCTTCTTTTCTTTTTCCTGTACGGAAAACTTTTTATAGCGTCGACTCGTACAGTGTTACCGTCTCCACTGCTCTCTGGCCCGCCACTGGATATACTGTACATTTGGCCTGAGAATGTATTGCAAAAACTTTTTTCAGCCCACCGAATGTGGACCCGCGGCGAACACCTCGAAACCTTGGCTGGAAACTGAAGACACCTGCATTTCTTGGTTTTTTTTCATTCTTTAGATTGAAGGGAATCGATTAAAAAAATTTGGAAATTTCATGAACTAACAAAAATTTCATCTGATACTAGTTTTAACATTTCGATGTAGGAAAAGGAGAGGCAGCAAAAAAATGGTGCATAATAGCCGGTGAAATGGCGCAAAAAGGTTGCAAAAAAGGAGCCTTCTTTACCCTTAAAGGAACAGTTCTATGGAGCCTTTTTCCACCCTTTCCAACTTTGGCTATGAATATAGTTAAAAAATCAAGGAAATTCGAATTGTTGAAAAATCGGAAAAAATTTTTTTCAGGTACCAGAAAAAAACACGCTCCTTATTGAAATTTACTACGAACGAATGAACTATCAAGTCTTGACCGAATCTCCTGCTTATACAGTTTGACTTATTATGGTAAAAATAGATAAATCATCTTTTTGCAGCTCGTCAACTTCATCTCGGACATTGGAGGTCAGGTCGGCCTCTTCTTGGGCATGAGCATCATCTCGGTCATCGAGTTCCTCACACTCTTCTTTTTGCTCGGTTTCTACTGCGCCACCCACAAGAGTCGTCGGATGCAGATCGAGGAGCTGGAGGTGGACATCAACAAAGCCAAGGTTCCTTATCACTTTTTCTTCGGAACATCCCAGACAAATTAAAGGACCACGCGGATTCTGTGGCGGCAAAGGCGCGAAAACATGAGCTGGACAACCACGCCTTCTACTCCGATGCAGGCGACCCCGTTCCGCCCAGACCCGCCGACGCTCCTTGACTTTTTCAACTTTTTAATTAATAAATGTATTGAGAAATTTGCCTGAACCTGAGAACAATTGCAGTCAAGAAAAGAAGGCGTTTTTGGTTATTTTTCAAAGTTCTCCCAAATATTCCAGACCTTTGAAAAAGTCAGATCCAAAAATAAATAGAAAAAAATAAGATTTTGAAAATTTACAAGTATAAATTAACGAATTCACAGCTGACGGGCAGCAAGAATTTGAGAAAGGTTATCATTACTTTTAAACGGAATGGACATGTAATGAAAAAAATCTTTTTGTTTAGGTCGTAAAGCTATAACTCGGAAAAAAGTGAACACGCAATGACGCTCTAAAAATCTCAACGCATGTTTGCTATCGCATTGGAATATTTTTTTCTTCGGTAGAACTTCAGATTCAAATATTGTAGCAGATATAACTCGTCCACGACAACATACGATTCATAATGACTCGTAAAATTCATTCAACTAATCTTTTTAAAAATTTCAGTTCGAATCTTCAGAAAGACTTTTCAAGACTGAAAAATGAGATCTGAACTCAATATCTTCTATTCTTCAACCGTCCGCTGGAATCTTCTAATTACAACATAGACGAATCAAGGTCAGCTAATAAAAATTATACCGGGCATATACTTCAAAAATGGATCAGGATGGTATAATAATATGTTCATCGTCATCCTCCGGTATATACTTCAGCACTATCGGAGCTCTACCGGTATGGCTGAATGGTATACTGCAAGTCTATCACATTTTTATATAATTTTGCAATGTATGACCGTGGTACCAACGTTAGGCTTGACCCTTCTGATAGACTACTGGCCCTATCGCGTTACTCCTCCCCGATTCGTGTGTGAAGGAAGATTACCTTTCTCGAGACTTCAGAAATTTCTAGAGGAATGTCTTGAAAGTCTAAACCTGCAAAAAAAGCTTCAGTAGATGAGAAGTATATGTTTTAAAGTTTTTCTTATTTTCTATGACTCTGTTAGAGATTACTGGAGCTTTGAAGTTCCTTTTAGCGGATCAATCTCGGAAAAAAATAATTCTTTGCAGTTTAAGACATCGGATATGCGTCTAATGAATTCAATTCTTTTTATTGTGTTTTTTTGAAGATTTCTGATTCTCTT